TCTGCTCGTGGCCACGGTGCCAGTTCTCTATGAAACCAACCTTCATCCCTGCTCCACGGGACTCGCGCTCGCCTGCCCAGGAGCCAGGCTGGATTCCTGAGCCCTGGAGCCACAAAGCCCCCTGAGCTGCCCGGGACCGGCTGTTCTGCTCAGCGGCAGAGCTGAGCTCCACGAAGCTCCGGCCGTGTGTGACCATTGCTTCCCGCTTTATGGGAACCACCAGCACACCCCATTCCTTCCTCTCCTCCCTCCCGGCGGAGGGTGCAGCATCCCGTGGGATCGCCGGCATGTCTCGACAGGGTGATCTCCCTTCCCTAAAATGCCTTTTGGGGGGATTCCTTCTGCAACATCCCAGTTTGCTGCTGCCGGTCCTGGCATGTCACTGCGGGATTTGGGATGTAGGATGCTTGGGGTGGTCCCTACCCACTGTCTGTGCTGCCCCTCCAGAGAGACCAGCCGGAGAATTGAAATGAAGTCTCCTGGAATAACCTCCTGGCAGCAAGTCCGAATGGCTGTTGCGGAGGGAAGGCAGCCAAATCTCATTTCATGGTCCGAGGGCTGCAGTAACACCCCCGACACCCCCCACCCCGTTCAAACTCCACCAGCGGGGAGCCAGGAGTGTTTCAGAGATGGGGGTGGGGGCAAATGCTTTAAGCCTGGGACCGCAGCCACAGTGGGCTTTGCCGTGTCCCTTGCTGGGCTCGCAGCTCCCATATGAATTAAGCCAAGGACTGAAAATGCTGCATACTTGGTTGCAGTCCAGCTCTTAATCCTGCGGCCTGGGGGCTGCTATTCGCAGAGTAACAGGTTTGCAAGCAACTGTGTGTTGCCTGAACGGGGATCCCTGGGATTGGCCATCCCTGCACCTTAGGGTGGCACCCGTGGGTGCAGGCTCAGAGCTGTGTTTTACAGACAGCAGGCTGGGTCGCTCCCAGCGTGCCAATGTCTGCACGGGACCAGCTGGGCACAGCCAGCCGGCGCCTGCTTTTCAGGAGAGCTTGGACTCACCAACTCCTTTCCCATCAGCTCACCCGACAGCTGGGGCTCGGCAGGAATCCGGGGGGGCCCGCAGTCTCTTACCTGGCTCCCGGGGGGCTGCAGACTTTGCCTTCACTAGGCTCCAGCACCTCGCTTTCTGTGCCAAATACCCGGCAGCCTGATTTGGGGTGGTCCTGAGCTAATTTGCACTGCTCTGCACCTCCCTTCCCTGGCACCTGCAGCACAGGCAGGCAATGAGGACCTTGCTCATGCGAAGGGGGATTAGACCTGGCAGTGGACAGGGTGTTTTGGAAGTAATTTGAAACCCAAGGGAGTGTTTTGGAAGGGGGATGTGCGGGAGGAGAAATGGGGTTGCTCTCAAAGAAGACTGCGTGATGGGAGTGCATGGCAGGGACCACTGTCTGTACCCCCTGTGGCCAGAGATGTCCTTGCACTACTCTGTTACCGTGTCACATCAGCTTCAGGCCAGTGTAGGTGTACCTGGTCCTTTGCAGAGTGTGTGTGGCTGCTGCTGAAGCCACAACTCTTTGCGTGCCACCGAGCCAGGTGTCGTGTTGCCCTGGCACTGGAGGAAGTGCTGGGCTAGTTCACTGTGATGTTTCTGTTTGTGGTATTTTTTAGGAAATGGAAATTTTAAAAAAAGTTTTGAATGTCAAGACCTAGCTCTGAGTAAATGCTCGGTCTCAGGAGCCCCAGGCACGGGCCTGTGCCAGCCTCCCCTTGGTTCTCCCCACGCCTTTGTGGGAAGGGCTGGCTGCCAGTGGCTGGCGAAGAACAGATCTGGCAGGGAGCTGTGCCGCTCCCCCGGGAATCACTGGCAGATCTGGTTTCATCCTGTTGGCAAGGCTCATCTCGAAGGTGCTGGGTGTTCTGTGCAGTGTTGTGGCCCGGGAAAAGCTGAAGCACCCCGTGGTGCAGCTTGGCACCTCCGGGCTGCTGGCACAGTGCAGCTGCCCCTCGGCTCCCTGGGCATCAGCAAACGCTCCCGGTCAGCCCCGGCCACCCACCGGTGCCGGGAATCACATGCCAATGCCATGAATAACGCCTGGCTGGCCCCTGCGGACACACACCACTGGCCAAGGACAAGGGCACTTTGTGAAGCACTCAGATACTGACACTGGGGCATCCCTTTGCAGGGGGACCCCAGTGGGGTCCTCACATCCTTGGACAGCTCCAGACCCTGGGCACATTGTCCCGACGATGAGGAGCTGGTTGTGCAAAGCTGTTTTGCATCTCTGGAGCCCGTCCTGGCTTGCCTCTCCGTGCCACAGTTTCCTCATCGTGTCGCTGAGTCTCTGCCTGAGTAACCCACTGCGGTGACGAGCTTCAGACTCATTAACATCTCGAGGAACACGGCGTCACTTTCCTAACGGACCTGGAAGGAAAACAGATAAAAGCCCCTGGATCTCCCTGTTTCCAGTGTTTGTTTGAGTCATCGGAGCATCTTCCCTTCTCCTCGGGAAAAACGTCACATCCAAAAGCCACGTGCCACTTCCAAAATCTTAAATACCTGCTGCCAAGTCACCCAGAAAGCAGTAAGGTGGTAGTAAACACAGGGCTTTTTGTTTGTTGGGGTTTTTAGTCTTTTTTTTCCCCCTCCATTCACCTAAGGTTTAGAGACCTCAATACAATGCTTTGGCTTTTCTTTCCAAGACTAGTTTGTTAATGGTGATGGGAGGATAAGAACTGGTGCCTGGGAATAAGCCCCCTTCTCTGCTGGTAAGGGAGCCTGCTCCAAGCTGTGCAGCCCTGGCAGAGGGTCTGCCACCTCTTTGAACATAATCTGGTTGATTTTGAGGCCAAGCCAGGAATTTTTCCCCACTGCCATCCGGGTACGGGAAGATGACGAGGCAGGATTCAGCCCTGACGAGAACTCAGCACATCCGGCTACCTTGGCTATGCTTATTGCCAGCGTGGATGGAGGCCGAGGTTTCTCACTGCTAAACCATTTTCAGGGGATTTTCTCTCGCTATTGTTCGGCTCAGGAAACGGCAATCGGAGTCAGGGCGAGCGGGACCATACAGGGCTCGGAGGGGAAATACCGGCTCCCCCACCCTCTTTCCCACAGGGATTTCTGGTCCCAGTTGAGTAATGGCTGAAAGGGGCTGATCCTCTCTTCCGAGCATCCCAATAAAACCTTAAGGATGCCAGCATAATGGGGTGGGCTGAATTCTCATTAGGATTCAGCATTCCCCATCCAGAGGCGATGCTTTACTGCTGTGCCAGCTATGTGCTGCCTGAACATGGCTGGCATTCACGTGGAGCTCCATTCCTTTTAAGTGATCCAGGTGTTTCCCATCACCAACAGCGTTTTGCCACCCCAGGTCCATGGTTTTTGGATATACATGCGTTATTCCTAAGTGTGTGGCAAGGCACTGGGATGCCAGCCTTCTCCAAATGTGTTTACTCCTGCCAAGTCACGCCTGTGCCCAACCACGCTGGCAGACCTCGTTAGTGTCACTTAGCTACAGCCATGGCAGCAGGTTAATTAACAACCCCAAGCCCCCATCTTCTGACGATGAGTTGCTGCGAGAAACAGCCAGGGAAGGATGGGGAGTGGGCTGTACACCTGTGCAGGATCTGGACTGGCTAGAGAAACTTCCAGACAAAGCCTGTGCTGGTGGGAGAAATCTGCTAATGAGTTTTTAAGCATCTGATGACCCTTGAGCATCTGGGAGAGCTCATAAGCCTTTTTTAGGTGGTGCTGGTTGATGCCCCAGCACCTACTCACAGCAAACAAAAGAGGACTCGACCTCTTGTGAGCTTGGGGGGGTGTTCGAGAGCAGTGCAGGAGTGGGGTGCAGCACTGGCAAACGGTGCTGGCTTCACTTTGGGCATTCTCGATGCATTCCAGCAGAGCTGGAGATGCAGTTTGTGGCCTGGGGCAGGCAGAAAGCACAACAAGAAAGGCTGTGTGTGTGAAGGCTGTGGCTGGGTGAGCACAGGGGTGTGGCAGCACTTGGTGGTGCTCAGTGCTGGCCTGGGTTTAGGTTACAGAAGCCCTGTCCTCATGCAAAAACAAAGAAAAGGGTGATGGTGCAGAGTCCCAGATGAAGGGATGGGCAAAGGGGCTGCACAGGATGTGGCCCAGCTGGTTGTGAGCAGCAGATTTGGGCAGCCGTGGTTGCTGTGCTGGCGTTGCCAGGATGTGCATGGGAGAGCCTGTTTCTGCAGGCTGAAATGATGGAGTGGTTTGCAATGTGCCCAGCTCCTCAGCTAGTCTGCAGGAGCTGAAAGCATCCAAGAAAATAATTTATGGCTGGTGAATGAGGAAACTGTGGTTTTGTTCCTATAGTTTATGATAACAAGTCTGGGCATTAACTGATATGTGGAGCAGAGAGCAGAAGAGGGGACCCCTCCTGTGTGAATTCTTTAGTGGTTGGAGCCTGTGCTGGAGTGGTGGGGCAGCCTCTCCATGCTAAGAGCTCAGGGGCTTCCAGCCTCTGCCATGCTTGCAGTCCATAGCCAGCTTGGATACCCGGTGGTCCTGGCTCCTCCTGGAGGCAAAGGCAGCAGGGAGCTGGCTGTGACACTGGCTGGTGTCCCACCTGCACAGCCTTTGCTCTACGTCCCTGCCCTCATGGCATGGGGGATACTCAAATACTCATGTGGCCCCTTCCCTTTGTACCCTTTCAGGCTCTGCCGCCTCCTTGAAGGCCAAGACAAAGTAGAGAGCTGCCCAGGATGAAGGTCCTCTTCCTGCTCCTTCTCTCCCCTCTCCAAGGTAGACTGTCCTGCCTTGGGATGGTGAGCTGGGTTTGGGCTGCTGGGAGTAATTGCACCATGAGATGTATGCAACCAAGGCTTCCACAGAAGTAAAACATCTTGTAGGATGATGTGCATCTGGTGTGTCTCTTGGGCAGAATGTGTCCTTTCCAGGGAAAGGAGATGGTCTCCATCCATCCCTTCTGGGAATGGAGAGGTCCTCTTTCAGTGTCTGCTGGTGTGGGTGGTGGGACATGGGAGAGGATGCCCTTGAAGGACAGGAGGGGCTGTTGCCCGAGGGGCCCTGGCAGATCCTTGCAGTGTGGCTGTGACACTGGGGACGTGGCTGGTGTCACACAGCCTGTAGGACAGGGTTGGGATAACTGGGGTGGAGAGGCTGGCATGCCACGTGTGACAGCTGCTGCAGGGCTGTGTTTGCTGGGGCTGGCTGTCCCTCCAGCTGACCCGCTGTCTCTGTGCTCGTACAACGCAGGGGTGGGAGCCAATGGCCGCAGGGAAGAGGATTTCCGCTTCTGTGGTGACCGAAACCAGACCCAGGAGAGCTCTGTCATCTACAAGCACAGCCCCAGCAACATGTCCATCGAGAACACGGCCCAGGCACTCATAATAAAAAGGCCCTTTTTGCCAAACAGGAGCAACTTTTACTACAAGTACAGCCTGCCCCCCACCTTGGGCAGGTACCGCTTCTGCATCTACTGGTTTGAGTCCAACAGGACCCTGCAGCTGCTGTACGGGAAGCAGAGCATCCTCCTGGGTGGGGACCCATCCAGCAGCATCCCCCAGGGACAGGAGAGTCAGGAGACTGAAGGAACCAGAGCCTACATCTTCAATGTGTCCTATTTCATGAAGGGCGGGAAGAACACCTCCCTGCCTGCTAATGATGAATACTGCTTCCCTGGTAAATGCAGTTTAATGTTATTTGAAGGAAATTAAAGGGTTGTTTTATCCCCAGCCTGTTCCCTAGGCATCGTCAGAGCACTGGTTGTTTCCCAGTGTGTGGTTTAGCCCGGTGATATGAAGATAGATGAAGGGTGATTGATAGCTTTTCTTGAAGCAGCCCAAAGACAGTCCTGGTACCCAGCATCCATAACAGTGGAGATTTTCAAAATGCTGCCTAAAATCCTGGAAAACTGAGCTCTTTGCAGTGGTTTCTCAGGGTTCATTCTCCACCATGAGGTTCCCATGGCCTCAGTGGGAGCTGATCTCTGTGTGGCAGGAAAGCCCTGTGGGTTGGGATCACTATCAGCCTGCCTGGCTTGGGGTCACCTTGAAGCCCTCTGCTTTCTGCTCCCACCAGGGCTCTGCCAGCTTGGGGCACGAGAAAGCAAATTCTGCCCATGCATTTCATGGCATTTCCTTTCCACCAGCCTCTCCAGAGAGCACGCCTGTCTGGGAGCAGGATGTGGAGAAGCAGCTCGCTGACTTAGACAACCTCATTGCCCAGCCCCTGGCGCCCGCCGCGGGAGCCACGGAGCAGCAGCGGCTCCGGCGGTGAGTTCCCAGCTCGCCCCATTCCTCTGCTGCCAGCGCATGCCCGCTGCATCCAGCTCACCGTGCCCCTTCCCCAACAGCAAACTTGGGGAGCTGGAGGAGATGCTGGCCAAGGTGGAGCTTAAAGGGCAGAACCAGACCTTTGGGGAGGCCACTGTGCACGCGACTGTCCTGAGGGTCCAGCCCAGTCGGGCTCCTCAGCACCTGACCTTTGTTTCCCAGAGAGAGGTGGGTTCTGGACAGTCTGCCCTGGTGCTCTTGTCCCAACATACTCTCCCTCAACCTCTTCCCTGATGATTCTTTCTTTGCAGGAGAGTGGAGAGGTCCAGGGATTCACCGTGGACCTGCCAAGCAGCCTGTTCATGATGGTGAAGGAGAGGGAGGAGGTGTTGGAGCACAGGGTGCTGCTCATGGACATCAACAGGCAGACCATGTTCCAGGTAATGCCCACATGAACAGCATGGTGGGGTGTCCCCTGGTACTGGGCTGCAGGGATGCCACCAGACCAGGGTGCTGGTGCTCTCTGGGAGATGCTTCAAAGATGAGCTAAAAGCTCAACAGGTAAAGTCATGAGACCTTCTTGGGCACGTTCCTCTGCTCCACACATAGCAGCTCTCCCTTCCCACACTGCCACTGCTTTCTCTTCTCCAACAGGATGAAAACAGCAGCCATGTCCTGGGTGACAAGGTAGTCAGCATCTCCCTGGTGGACACAGTGGTGGCCAACCTCTCTGACCCAGTGGTCCTCACTTTCTTCCATGACCAGCTGCCGGTAGGTGGGGAAACAGCCTCACAGAACCTGATCCCACCAGGAATGGAGGGCTCAGGCCCTGCCAGCTTAGGGTGTA